GAAGACGTGTTGTATTTAGAAATTTCAATCCTATTTTATGTTTAGTGTTGCAAACATGTATTTGGGATTGTAAACTTTATTTATTTTTGTATTATGCTTTGAATTGTATGGTTGTGTTGTTTATACACTATTGCTATGAGACTCTACCTGCCATATCCCGTGTTTCCGCTTTAGCGGGGTGTGACAATAATTTAATTTAGGTTTAATAATATAATTTTTTATAAAGATAATAATTAAATATTCTGTTAGAACACAATTATTATTGTAATTATATTTTAGATATTTTATATTTAAATTGAGATGTTTATCTTGTATTTAATTATGTTTATCTGCAGTTAGTTACACGATTTTAAAAATAGAGYTTTAATAAGTTGTACTTATGCAAAATTACTTGTAATCTTAAATTTTAAGTAATATGCATCAACAAACAGTACTTCAAACATAAAAATGATTTTTAAGAGTTTTTGTCAAATGTTTTATAATCTAGTATAGATTAGCCAAATGCTTTATAAGATATTATAGATATGTATGTGTATGTATATATTATGGTCTAATAAGAAAAGACCACACATTGTAATAAAATGACCAAAATAGGTCTTAAGTTAACGGGTATTTTAGATCGAAGTAAACCATATGGACCAGGAGTGTAATAAATGGAGTTTAAAGACCATAGTAGTAATTTTTAGCAAAGCACATGGACCAAAACTGTAATTTAAACTCTTAAATGTAGGTACATGTACATCCACATAGAAGGCAAGTGAGAGTTTATTCAACCACATTTCATCATGCATTTCCCCTTCCTATTTCTCTCATCTCTAATTATCATCTCTTACTTTCCACGTGTGGCTACTGCTCCTTCCTCACCAAATGTTCTAACCCAAGGCTCATCACTCTTTGTTGAAAACGATGATCTTTTGGTTTCATCAAATGGCGTTTTCGCAGCAGGATTTCACCCGGTTGGCGAAAACACTTATTGTTTCGCGATATGGTTTTCCAAACCCATGTCGGATGGCAATCTGACATTGGTTTGGATGGAAAACAGAGATAAACCCGTCAATGGAAAACGCTCCAAGTTTTCCTTGTGGAAAACCGGAAATCTTGTGCTTACGGATGCAGGTCGACATGTTTGGCGAACTGATACTATATCTACTAATTCGCAATTGAAGCTTCTTGATTCCGGTAACCTTGTTTTAATTCAGCCAGATGATCAATCATATCTTTGGCAAAGCTTCAGTTTTCCTACAGACACCATTCTATCCAATCAGCGGTTTACCAGAGATTCGGTTCTTGTATCTTCAAGAAGTTCAACAAATTTATCTTCCGGCTTTTATAAACTTTATTTTGATGACGACAACGTAATCCGCCTTGTTTACGATAGCTATGAAATAACCAGCGTTTATTGGCCTAAACCTTGGTTACGGCCATGGGATGCGATGAGATCTACTTTCAACAATAGTAGATTCGCTTTGCTTGATTCCAAAGGCCAATTCAAGTCCACAGACAATTTAACATTCATTACCACGGACTATGGGCAGATTCATCATAGAAGAATGACACTTGATGTTGATGGCAATGTTAGAGTTTACACACTTAACAAAGGAAGTTGGACTGTTTCATGGCAAGCAATTTCAAAAATGTGTTCAATTCATGGGATATGTGGCCCAAACAGCCTTTGTACTTATAGTTTTGAATCAGGAAGGAGGTGTACTTGCATGCATGGGTACAAGGCTAAGAACCATACCGATCTGTCTTTCGGGTGTGAACCAATAATCAAACTCACTGGACATCGCGAAAACTACGAGTTCATAAGACTTCCTCATGTGGAATTCTATGTCAACATGAATTTGAGAGACCCATTTGCTTGCTTTGTCACATATGTTCGTTCGAGTATGATTGTAGAACTCTATGACACGATACGATTTCATTTATATATAATTGTGCAAGCCTTTCCGTACTGAAGTCTTCTCGAACAGGTAAAAAGTGCGTGGATTTCGTAAGCCGATCCACTATGACCCAAATTAAGTCATGTCCTTTCCTAGTCCTAGGTAACTTAGTGACGAAGTCCTTTGATATCTGATCCCACTTCCTTTGGGGAATCTCTAGTTGCTGAAGGAGACCAGACGGTTTCTGATGCTCAGCTTTTACCCTTGCGCATGTTAAGCACTGGCTTACGTACAGAGCAACGTCCTTCTTCATTCCTGGCCACCAGTAATACTTAGCTCTTTGTACATCTTATCGGTTCCTAGGTGAATTGAGTATCTTGAGCGATGTGCTTCCTCCAAAATTGTTGACCGAATGCTGTCGTCCTTTGGTATCCAAACTCTATCTCTGAAGTAACGCACCCCATCTGCTCGAGTTTCGAATTCCTTCTCTAAGTGGTGCAGGGTCTCGTTTTTCAGATTCTTCAATTTCAATACCTCATCTTGAGCTTCTAGAATTTGTTTTTTAGGTTCGTTTGAATCAGCATCCCCATGGCTCGTACCCTTGATGGTTTTACCCTTTCTTTCCAGCTTAATGCGTCTGCTACCACGTTAGTTTTCCCCGGGTGGTACTTTATTTCACAGTCATAATCGTTGAGAAGTTCGACCCATCTCCGTTGCCTCATCTTCAGCATCTTTTGGTCTAGGATATGTTGAAGGCTTTTGTGATCAGTGAAGATGGTGCATTTGGTGCCGTAGAGATAATGTCTCCAAATCTTCAGTGCGAACACCACTGCTCCTAGCTCCAAGTCGTGAGTGGTGTAGTTCTTTTCATGAACCTTGAGTTGCCTTGATGCATAAGCAATGACCTTGTCATTTTGCATCAGCACACATCCCAAGCCTTGGTGTGACGCATCGCAGTATACCATAAAATTCTTCGTACCTTCTGGTAGCGCTAAGATCGGTGCGTGACATAGCTTATGCTTGAGCAATTGGAATGCTTCTTCTTGCTTTTCTCTCCACATGAAATCCTTATCCTTCTGGGTTAATGTCGTCAGTGGTTGTGCGATCTTGGAGAAATTTAAAATAAAACAGCAATAGTAACCTGCTAAACCGAGAAATTGACGAATTTCTGTCAGGGTCCTCGGGGCTTCCCACTTCTTTATAGCCTCAACTTTGGCCGGATCAACATGAATTCCCTTCTCATTTACCACATGACCAAGGAAGTGCACGTCACGAATCCAAAATTCGCATTTGGAGAACTTGGCATACAATTTCTGATCCCTTAACAGCTCAAGTATCAACTTTAAGTGATGTTCATGCTCCTCCTTGTTTTGCGAATAGATTAGTATGTCATCTATGAATACAATCACGAACTTATCCAAATATGGCCTACATAATCTATTCATTAAATCCATGAAAACTGCTGGCGCATTAGTTAACCCAAAGGGCATAACTAAGAATTCATAATGACCATAACGAGTTCTGAACACCGTCTTAGGAATATCTACCTCACGGACCCTCATTTGATGGTATCTGGATCGAAGATCGATCTTTGAAAAGTAAGTGGCACCTTGAAGTTGATTGAACAAGTCATCGATTCGGGGAAGGGGATATCGGTTCTTGATGGTCAGCTTATTGAGTTCCCTATAATCGATGCACATCCAAAGGGATCCGTCTTTCTTTTTAACAAATAGTACTCGAGCTCCCCAGGATGAAGAGTTGGGTCTGATGAATCCTTTGTCGAGTAACTCCTTAAGTTGTTCTGACAATTCTTTCATTTCCGATGGTGCCAAACGATAATTTGATTTGGCTACAGGCGCTGCTCCAGGAATTAAGTCAATGTGGAATTCGACTTGCCGTAACGGGGGTAAACCTGGCAGCTCATCAGGAAATACCTCGGAAAATTCCCAAACTATGGGAAAATCCTAGATGCGTTTCTCTTCGATTCCCTTATCCACAATGTGGGCCATAAACGCGACATATTCCTTTTTCAAGTATTTCCACATCTTCATACATGTTACTAACTTGAAGTTTTCCTGGGACTTCTCTCCGTGCACCACGAGCGTTTCACTTCCTTTTAAAATTCGGATGGTCTTCTCAGAACAACATATCTCGGCTCGATTTTTGGATAGCCAATCCATACCCACAACTACATCAAAGCTTCCTAATCTGATTGGAATAAGGTATATGCTAAAGTCTTGTTCGGCTAAATGTAAGGTACAATTCGTGATTACGTCTTTAGTCCTAACTTCCTGTCCATTAGCAAACTCGATAACAAAATCTTCTTTCAGCTTTTGTGACTTTAAACTAATCTTTGGTCTAAATTCTAGTGACACGAAGCTCCTATCTGCTCCAGAATCAAATAATACGGATGCGTAATGATTGTTCAGGAGGAATGTACCTGTGACCACGTTCGAGTCTTGCCTGGCTTCTTCTACCCCAATCTCAAACGCTCGACCTCGTGCTTGGCCTCCTTGATTTTCTTGGTTGACTGGTCGTGCTAGGTTAGTAACTGGCCCTCGGTTCAGTCTCGGGCATGCATTCCTAAAGTGATATGAGCTTCCGCACTCATGGCATGTTCGTCTCCTTCCTCTCCTGCAATCTTTAGCGAAATGACCTCCTCTGTTGCATCTGAGACAGATGATACATCTCCCGCCATGGTGATTATTGCACTTGTCACATCTAGGGTAAGTTCCCTTGTCCTTTTCTGCTGTCTGTGTCTGAGCCCCAAAGTTTCTTATCACTTTTTGGGCCTTACCACCCCTCTCATTGTATCACCCTCTCGTTGTAGTTCTTTATCATTGTTGGTGAGTTTTGTCGCTAAGTTCACAACATCCTGAAGTGTTTTTGGATTGATCGGAGTCACATTCCCCCAAATTTCTGGAGCTAAACCCCAGATATAACGGTCAATTCGGTTCTCTTCGGGTGATACCAAGTCTGGCACCAGTTTTGCCAGCTCATGAAAGCGAGCAGTGTATGAGTCTACATCACTTCCCTTCATTTCGCGATTCCACAATTCTGCTTCTAACTTCTGGATCTCGCTCCTCGGACAGTACTATTCCTTGAGTAATTTCTTGAATTCCTTCCACGTTAGTCTGTTGGTAGTTTCCCGACCTCGGTTTTGTATCTGAGTATTCCACCACGTCAATGCCCGTCCTTACAGTAAACAAGCTGCAAACTCCACTTTGCTTCCTTCTGCACATTTACTAATATGAAGGACCGACTCCATACCTTCAATCCAAGTAAGTAATCCCACGGCTCCTTCTGTCCTATGGAATTTTTTTGGGTTGCAAGCTCTAAAGCCTTTGTATGTGCAATCTTTATTTGTTGTTGTATCTTGGTTGTTTGATTGGTTAGAGTTCAAGCCTACTGCTACTTAGCTAACTATATTAGGAAGGGCCGCAAGAACTTGCTCAGACACAAGTCTCGCAATTTCGGGATCTTCTCTTCTTGGAGGCATATTTCTAAAGCACAAATTTTAAATCAAAGTTCGGTTATTTTTACTGTTTATCACTGTATCTACTTTATTGAATTATGCATGGCATAATTCAATCATCTAAACATGCATCCATGGCAATATATAATAACTTGTAATAATAAAGGCATTCAATCATTAATCAACATAATTTAACCAAAATAAAAACCCATATCATCCATAAAGAAWAYAAAGACGTGSAACAAAAAGAAAGAAATTGTTCATAAGTCACGGCTACATGCCCCAAAAGAAGATTCTAAGTTTGATCTATCAAAAGCTCAGTAAAATAGTCTTCTAGCGCATTAGACTCCAAACAAGTAGTCCCATCACTATCACCAAAACTCCCGCTAACACTGCCAAGTAGGTATATAACCTCCTAATCGCTCCCCTAGCGGTGTTAATCAACTCCAACGAGCGATCCCCACATTGTCTTGTGTGCCTAGGGCCATAATCACCCCGTCGGCCAAGTGTCGATGATGATCCAACCTAAGCTCACACATCTTTAAGTCTTGGGCGATGCCTAAAACCCATAGGTTCTCTAAGGTGGTCATACCCGGAGAGCGCTCCGACGTGGCCCTGGTAGTAGGTGGGGGCGTCATGCTACGGGTGCGTGACTGAGATGACTCCCTTGCAACTCCGAAAGGGGCGGAGAAAGACACCCTTACGGGTGGAGGAATGTTCTTTCGGGTGGTGGCCCGAACTCTAACTCCATGTGCCTCTAATGGATGCGTGGCATAGAACGGGGCGGCACGGGGGTAGGTGATCGAGCCGGGGACTCGACGACATCATCGTCACTATCGTAACTACACTCGGAGGGGTCGTACTCTTCGGAGTTCGAATATTCATTAGTTGACGACATAGTGCTGCGATATTTAACAAAATTTAAATTATTGAACGAATCATAATAAATATAAAAAACATGCAATGTTTATGCGAACCCACACATGCAAATCGTGCTTTTCTTATTTGAATAAGAAGTTCTTAACTTTAGACGAACACCTAACATAACCGGTCCGCGTCTCTCCTTATACATGCTTAATTAGACATTGGTGATTCGGCTCTATCTAATTAGAGTATGCTAAGAAGGCACTCATTCTAGTTATATTAGTAGTATGTTCGTTTCAAATTTTTGAGACTCTTTTAAGAAAATTATTTTGTAAATTTTTGGGTTATAGTGTATGGTTTTCTTAGAAAATCGGTATTCTCTATAACCTACCGCTCTGATACCAAATCTGTCACACCCCGCTAAGCGGAAACACGAGGTATGGCAGGKAGAGTCTCATAGCAATAGAGTATAAATAACACCACCATACATTAAAATTTCATTACATCACTAACCGGAGTTTACATTCCCAAAACGACAAGTTTGTAAATTATAAAAAAAAATCGAAGGTGATGATTGAAACCCGGCTTCTTTTAAATGCCACCATGTGCCTTTCTTACCCCTGAAAAGCACGTTAAAACAAGTGTCAACTACAAGAGTTGGTGAGTTCACAGGTTTTCAATGTACAACAAATCTTTATGCAATATTTAGTTCGAGTAAGTCTTTTACTTACTCGCAACAACTTTCATACGTGTAGCACTTTTAACGAGGCACAATGTACTCCAAGTAATTTTAAGTGTTGGGCCACTACTAAACCTGCGACAGCTACGCCCTTTATACCGAACTACCTCAGCGGTGGTGTTTAAACCACATGTGTAGAACCCGTGTTTTAGTTAAATGCACCCCTACTCGTCAGTAAAAGGTGGGATTGTCAATCCAAATAGCGCTATCCACTTAAACTATCGGCTCATACGAGTTAATAAGTAGTGTAAACAAGTGGGACTTTTTAATTAACCCAAACACAATTTTTAGTAGCGTACATAGTGTTAGTGCTAGTATTCACAATTTCATTTTATTGCATATTTCATATAATCAATTTGTATCCACGATTTAATCACATTGTATATTTCATACAAACATCAACTACTTTTATACATGATTTTCCCCCAAATAACGATAGATTTAAAAAGGGGCCGTGAATACTCACATTTTCTTTCACGGAGAAGATGGTTGAGTGATCAAATGGTACGTCTTGGTAAAGTCATTTTAGTGAATCCCTATAGAAAACGAACGGTTGTCAAACTCTTAAAAGTGAAGGTTACTATTCTACCTTTACGTCTTATAAAATGCCTCTTTATGTTCTTAAGATAAAAATCAAGTTTTAAGCACTTTATATGCTTATTATGSGGTTTATGGTTTAAGAGTCCAATCTTTAGTGGTTTTAGGAAATCATGCATGCTGACAGAATCTTTGTGACTCAATAATGTCCATGGTTCACCCTTATCCAAGAAGTATATTTTCCAAAAACTTTATATGTTTTAGTATACTGAGTTAGGATCATTAYGACCAAAAATCAAGATTTTTGGATGAGTGGAAGGGTCTCAAACAAATTTTACCAAAACAGTGACTACAACTTTCAAAACAGAAAACCCCTTCTTAATGTTACACCCTTTTGAAGGAGTTATACTTATTATTTTCCAGTGGTTCATGAATCGTTTTAAAGCTAACACATAAGGATAGTTTTTTCAAATAGAATCACTATATTATGGTGTATAGTTTGGGAGTTATGGTTGTTTAAACATGCATGTGGAAATCTGTCAAGTCTGGACAGAATGCACACTTATTTTGTAAAAATCGGTTGAACCCCTGAATCACCATGTTTTTGGGTGGGGTTAGACTCTTTTGAAATCTAACACTTTAAGCTATACTCCAGAGGTAAAATTTCATGAGTTTTGATGTGTCTTCTAAGAGTTATAGATGAACAATGATACACACAATTTCTGACCGACCACTGTTGCACACCAAATTTGTTTTGGGTGTTGTGAGGTCATAAAGTCATATTTTCTTCTGATTCCACTTGGGTTTGAAAACTAATACACTAAATATTATTGAGGAAAAAGATTTTACTTGTTTCCACATTGTAAGTACAAGAGAACCAAAAGTTCTTTAAAAGAATGAAACGCATATGTGGATTCTCAGGAAGTGCAAAATCCAGTGGACTTTTTATCCCCATCATGATATGATGAGATGAAGTTCCATTAAGTTTGGATAAATAGGCAACTTAGTTTGTTCCTTTTATTTGACACTTGAGGCTGAGAAGTCGACATTTAAAGATTATGATGCTTGATAGAAGTTTGCCATAAATGAAATCAGAAGAGGACAAAGGAGATGATGAATTAGAAAAATGAGATAAGTCACGTGTTTTACAGAAGAAAAATTCGAAGGCAAAGGTAATTTTGTGGGATAAGAGATGGATTTATGTAATGAATAGTAATTATGAGATTAGGATAAAAATAAAATTTTGATTTTCTACTATTCACTTATATCAATTTAGTGTTGAACTATTTTTATTACAAAATGGTCTCTCAGAATTTGATATTTGTATAATAATAGTTTATTGAGTCTAAAGAT